ATTCACCGTATCCCCCAGAGTTATGGTGCGTTCTATTATAGCCAACGAACCGACTCGGACCTCGGATATGACGTCACGTCCACACTTCAAGCGTTCTATTATGTTTTGGGCGTCCGAGTCGGAGAAAATAATGGACGCCACCCGTTGTAATGGTAGCACTGGCTGAGTACCAGGCGCTCCAAAATAAGTATGTGCTTCACCTTACAGAACACCGAGGAAGAACTTGAACTTGAAAATGTTCACTTTATTTCATGTTTTTCATGTTAATCTTCTGTTAGCAACGCTAGCAACGTAGTAATTGCACTCACAACAACCGATTCCCATACCTACAGGGGACGCAGTAATACGAGTGATTATAATCGTCATTTAAAATACCAAAGCGGTTCAAAAACAATGAAAACAATTCATACTTTCAAGTCACACAGGGCGCAGCCATCTTGAATTCCGAAACGGAATTCTTGCTCGGTGTCCTCATGGTTGTCCGACGTCCGAGAGGAGAAATCCGAGGAAAGGGGGCGTGTTGCTACGCAACGTCTGTCTTCCGATTCGGATCTCCGAGATGGATAAATAATAGAACGCACCATTAGCTCAGTCCATACATACCCTTCTCATCTCCGTGTGTGCCGTAACTCTGTCTGACGCACACACCGCTAGCCTAGCTTAGCACAAATACTGGATGTAAATGGCTCCAGCTAGCATACTGCTCCCAATAAGTGACAAAATAACGTCAACATTTTCCTATTTACATGTTGTGATTTGTATAGTGACATCGTGTACAAATAACAAGGTCACATGAGACCGCCATCTTCTAACCGTATACATACTGGGAACTATATTCTCAGAAGGCGAAGCACTGCTACTTCTGCGGAGTGATTTGCACGCAGCACCTGAGATCACCAGTCACGTTCGCTACTAGCTAGCTAGTCACGTTGGTTTTGTTGACGGAAGTCGGTGCTTTTCACGTGTTGCGCTCATACTCTGTAAAAAAAGATGGACGACGCCCCTTCGCTCTTTTCCATTGGAGAGAACTGAAGCCGCCAGTGTCCCGATATGGCGCTGACATAGTGGAACTTGTGTCTGCGCAGTAGCGTTTTCGGGACCAGTCATGCGCAGTCGTGAACAGGAAGTAAAGCCGCGAAATCAAGGTCCCGCCCCCACTCTCGCTGAACCAATCGTAAGCACACGCCCTGCACTTTTCTTAAGTGGCCTTGTCTGCTCCGTTCCTCTCCAATGATGTCTGCTGATTGCAGTACCTCGTTAAAATAAGGTAAATACAACTACTAACCACATTGTCAACATTATGAAAAAAGTCCGTTAGTACTTCAGTGACTACTTCGCACAGAGAAGCTGTCAATCACAGCTGTCAATCATGATGTCACAGCACCGTTTTTTTGCATCAAATAACAGTAACTTATTTTAAAAACAAACACTTGAAATTACATCAACGTGATAGAAACTACACTAAATGACAGAAACTATCTTTAGAAAAAAGATATGTGAAGTGTAATTTAATTATTTAGTCGGTCTCACGTCCCGTTGAATAACATGGGGAGGCGGGGCTTATGAGCTATACTAGGACCGGTCACCGGGGGGCGATCGAGACGTTTTGGGTTCACTTTTGAGGGCTTGTGCGGCACACTTGGTTGCGCTATATACATTTATATATAGTAGGGATGGGACGAAATATCGTTTGACGAAATATCGCGATACAAAACGTGACGAAACGCATCGAGGTCGAAAAAAATGGATCGCGAAATAAAGATAGATGGCACTGCTGCATGATTTGCGTAGTATATAAATAACTTAGTGTATTATATGTGTGTGTGTATGTATATGGGGCAGACATACAGTCTATGGTGGCAGGCTGGCAGCACCATCTGCTGATCAAGCAGGTTAAAACTAAATGAAAAAAAAAATTATATCCGGGGAACGGTGCGGTACGTCATCACGTCAAGACAGCGCATGTTGCAACAACAACACTGCAGTCTACAGCGAGCTAACAAATATTAGCATCAGTACCAACTGCCTTGCCCCCAAACAGCCGACCATGGAGTCAAATGTATATACACTCACCGGCCACTTTATTAGGTACACCTGTCCAACTGCTCGTTAACACTTAATTTCTAAGCAGCCAATCACATGGCGGCAACTCAGTGCATTTAGGCATGTAGACATGGTCAAGACAATCTCCTGCAGTTCAAACCAAGCATCAGTATGGGGAAGAAAGTTGATTTGAGTGACTTTGAACGTGGCATGATTGTTGGTGCCAGAAGGGCTGGTCTGAGTATTTCAGAAACTGCTAATCTACAGGGATTTTCACGCACAACCATCTCTAGGGTTTACAGAGAATGGTCCGAAAAAGAAAAAACATCCAGTGAGCGGCAGTTCTGTGGGCGGAAATGCCTTGTTGATGCCAGAGGTCAGAGGAGAATGGCCAGACTGGTTCGAGCTGATAGAAGGGCAACAGTGACTGAAATAACCACTCGTTACAACCGAGGTATGCAGCAAAGCATTTGTGAAGCCACAACACGCACAACCTTGAGGCGGATGGGCTACAACAGCAGAATACTCCACCGGGTACCACTCATCTCCACTACAAATAGGAAAAAGAGGCTACAATTTGCAAGAGCTCACCAAAATTGAACAGTTGAAGACTGGAAAAATGTTGCCTGGTCTGATGAGTCTCGATTTCTGTTGAGACATTCAGATGTTAGAGTCAGAATTTGGCGTAAACAGAATGAGAACATGGAACCATCATGCCTTGTTACCACTGTGCAGGCTGGTGGTGGTGGTGTAATGGTGTGGGGGATGTTTTCCTGGCACACTTTAGGCCCCTTAGTGCCAATTGGGCATCGTTTAAATGCCACGGCCTACCTGAGCATTGTTTCTGACCATGTCCATCCCTTTATGGCCACCATGTACCCATCCTCTGATGGCTACTTCCACCATGTCACAAAGCTCTAATCATTTCAAATTGGTTTCTTGAACATGACAATGAGTTCACTGTACTAAAATGGCCTCCACAGTCACCAGATCTCAACCCAATAGAGCATCTTTGGGATGTGGTGGAACGGGAGATTCGCATCATGGATGTGCAGCCGACAAATCTGCGGCAACTGTGTGATGCCATCATGTCAATATGGACCAAACTCCCTGAGGAATGCTTCCAGCACCTTGTTGAATCTATGCCACGAAGAATTGAGGCAGTTCTGAAGGCAAAAGGGGGTCCAACCCGTTACTAGCATGGGGTACCTAATAAAGTGGCCGGTGAGTGTATATACCGTAAAACTTCAAATAATAGCCCGGGCTTTTATTTTCCCAAATCGTCGAACTGCACCGGCTTGTATTTGAGACAGGCGTCTATATGAGACCGGCCTTTATAATTAAGTGTTGAGATGTTGTTCATTGAGTCTAAGTAAGCCTAGAGTCTCTAATCTCTAAAAATCTCCAAATGCTCCACGTGAAACTGCGGTCTTCCGACCTTTTACTATCGTGTCAATTGATTTTGATTAATATGCGCGAGGGAGAGAGAGCAAGACAGCGCTCGTTTTGTTTGAAGACGTGAGAGTGCGCGCGCGCGGCCGGGGCTCTCTCTCTCTCTCTCTCTCTCTCTCTCTCTCTCTCTCTCTCTCTCTGCTCGTTATGCGCCCTGTCATTGTCAAGCGCAGCAGTCAATTCATTCTACATCACTCGTCGATCAAAAAAGGCTTTGGCGGGACACACATTTGCTTTGGCGGCCAAAGCAAATGAATAAGTTGTTGTTATACAGTAATATTTTTCTCTTTTTTTTTCTTTTTTGATATCGTATCGTGACGTATCGTATCGTGACCCTGGCATATCGAGGTGCATCGTATCGTGAGTTTAAGTGTATCGTCCCATCCCTAATATATAGCCGCTCTGGTGAAAACCGTGACGTCATCGTCCAGCTCAGTTCCGTTCTCATATAATGCTGTCAATGCAGGAGATCAATAATATTGTTGAATATTAAATGCATTAATTTAGCATTTGTATCATTAGAATCTATTTCACTATATGTGTTTGGACGTGTGGTCTGTTAAACACACATTAGATGTGGTCGTGTTGTAAAGGCAGGGGTGCAGGTGCACATTAAACCCGCGGCCGATGAGACACTTAAAACAAGCCAGTCCCGTCTGCCAACGCAGAGAAACACACGCATGCATTCCATTCGTTTTCCCATGATTGCTGCCGGCGGCACATCTGCAGGAGAATCAGCATTACTGATGCACACTGGGAACTGGAACACCTGACTTCTCATTTACAGCCAATAAGAGCCGGTTCTGCTGGAGGACAGAGCGCGTCTCCTCATTAGCTCAGGTGTGATCAATACTTCAGCAGAACAGATCCGTGTAAACGCCAGATTCATGCTGGTGGGCACAGAACCGCGAGTCTACTTTACTCTATGACTTTCCTAACTCGTCGTCACTGGTCATCAGATTACACTTCCTAAATTTGTTTAATATAGGATGCATTCAGATGGGAAAAAAAGAAACACTCGCTAATAACGTGTTGTCCGGGTAGACAGACGGTGCGGTTATGTCATAATTGAGGAATATATTTTTTAATATATATAATAATATTATACATTTCTATTCATACATCTTACAGAAAACTGTTTCGACTTTTTGACTGCAGTTTTGACTATTTTGACAAATGAATTATGACAATATATGATTCATCTAAGTTCTTTAGGTATTTTCACTGTTTATATTAGAAATAGCATTTTCCATTGTATACAGTGCCACAAATATTATATTTTCCATATTTTTGTCAAATTTATTGGTGAATTCTATGAAGAAAATGCACATCAGATCATATATGATTTTCTTATAGTAAGACATTTGATACCATTGTTATTTTAATATCATTGGGATACTATTATGGATTTTACAGGTGTTTGAATCGATTTCACGATATTTAATTTAACGATTAATCGTGCAGCTTTATAATCAAGTACCGCCGCTGTTCCTCTTGTCTTTCAGGAGCATGATGCCAAAAGCCCTCAACGGGCAAATCGTGATGGAGAAGACGCCCAGATACTTCGTCACCGCCGAGACGCCGGGCCGCATCCACGCCATGTCGCGCGACATCAAGCTAATCGTGGTGGTGCGAGACCCGATCACCCGCGCAATCTCCGACTACACCCAGATCATCTCAAAGACCCCAGACATTCCCAGCTTCGAGAGCCTGACGTTTAAGAACCGATCGGCGGGGCAGATCGACTCGCTCTGGAGCCCGCTGTACATCGGCCTGTACGCCACACACCTGGAGCGATGGCTAGCGTACTTCCCGCTCGCGCAGATACACTTCGTCCACGGAGAGAGACTGATCAGCGACCCGGCGGGCGAGCTGGGTCGCGTGCAAGACTTCCTCGGCCTGCAGAGGATCATCACGGATAAACACTTCTACTTCAACAAGACCAAGGGCTTCCCTTGCCTCAAAAAGCCAGAAGGCAGTAGCAAACCTCACTGTCTGGGCAAAACCAAAGGCAGAACGCATCCTAAAATCAACCCAGAGGTCATTCAGAAACTGAGGGAATTCTACCAGCCACACAACCTGAAGTTCTACCAGATGGCGGGGATGGACTTCGGATGGCAATGAACTGTTGTGGTCAATGTTGAGCAAGTTTAAACCGTAAGAAGTGCAGTGAAACACGATATCTTAGGCTTGTCGATGGCTCCATCGCTGTTCAAATCAATGCGTCTGCCAGACACAGTATACCCAGGCCTGAGCACTTCGGGTCAGAACACTGGCTCAGTTTGAGAGAACTGATAGCAATGACCTTAAATCATTGGTTAAAGCAGCACTTTTCAGCTCTTGCCATTTTGATGTTTATAGGGGCTTTCGCACTGGAGAAACCTTTTCATAGTTCCTAGAAGTATTGGCGGAAGTTCCCGGATTTTGGCGAAGGAACTAGGAATGATTTTTAGTTCTAGGAAGCTAATTTACTCCTACTTCAGAGTCGGTCTAAACCAGCGCTATAGGAACTACCCGTGACGTTAGTGTTCGCTGATTGGCCGAACGCACGCGAAACACCAGCACCCGCCATTTTTTAAAAGGCTGTAAACACACAGATTATAGCCTATATATTTACTCCACAAACTAACTCTACGAACATGTAAAACAGTGATAGATGGACCTCTTAACCTTTACGCTGAGGAGAAAATCCAACGCAACTTTGAGGAGACCGAGAGAAACATGATTATGTATTTCTGCTCAGCAACATGACATCAACCACACGCCATACGCTGATGACTTTTCATTACTGTCTACTTTCTATTACAGTTCTATCTAATAACGTATTCGACAGGACTGTTAGACAGATCGTAAACTAATGAACACGGAGAATGTGAGCGCTGTGAGCTCAGGCTCTGGCGTTCAAAAATAAGTCACAACAACAAGCGAGTCTCACATCACTTCAGAGTTCCTACTAGCGGTGCGAACGCAACCAGGAAAATGTTCCTAAGGGAACCACCAGTCCTCGGGGAATCACCCTGGTGGCTCGTTCCTAGAACTACCCTGTGCGAAAGCCCCTGTTTTATGTTGCCCAGTCAAACAGCAGCTTCAATCATGTTTGATTGATCGTTCATATCCAGACAGCAACATGGTGTCGGCCCGGATCCGGCACGCGTTGAATCCACATGTACCAGATGTGGCCCGGATCTGGGCCATATCAAAAAGTTTAAACCGTAAGAAGTGCAGTGAAACACGATATCTTAGGCTTGTCGATGGCTCCATCGCTGTTCAAATCAATGCGTCTGCCATACACAGTAAACGCAGGCCTGAGCACTTCGGGTCAGAACACTGGCTCAGTTTGAGAGAACTGATAGCAATGACCTTAAATCATTGGTTTAAGCAGCACTTTTCAGCTCCTGCCATTTTGATGTCTTTTGTATGTTGCCCAGTCAAACAACACCTTCAATCATGTTTGATCGATCGTTTATACCCAGACAGCAACATAGTGTCGGCACGGATCCGGCCCACATTTGGTACGCATTCAGGGTTTGAAATTAACTCCCGCCAAATGCAGGTAAAAATCAACTTTGGCGGGAAACGCTGTCAAATCACTGTTGCTAATTATATTTACTCACTTTGCTGGGAAGTTCGTGTAAAAGCCAAATCTCCGCAGATTTAGCGCAAATACTCAGAGTACACTCTAAACAATGCTGGGTTGTTTTAACCCAAATTTGGGTCAAATATGGACAAACCCAAATGTTGGGTTAAAAATGTAATTAGAAATTTTAACCCAACTTCAGCTTTCACTTTCAACTGTAATTTTTTTTATCACATTTTTAACCCAACATTTGGGTTTGTCCATATTTGACCCAAATTTGGGTTGAAACAACCCAGCATTTTTTAGAGTGTATATTAAATACAGCGTATTGCGCAGAATCTGCTTATATCTGGCTAACTTGAACACACACGTCACTACGCAACAAATAACGGCACGCTTGTTCATTTGCATTAACGCAATAGTGAAGATTAAAAAGCATTTGGTTAATAGAAAAGACATTATTTTCCAACATCCTACATTTTTTTGATATTCTCTGTACTGTATTGATCTGCACCTTAAACACATTTTTGGTGGACTTAAATGAAAGAGGATGAAATCATTGAATGAGGATGAAAGAGGAAGGGATGAGATGCTGGATGACAGGATTTGTTTGAATACTAAATCAATGTATGAAATCCAAATTTTATTTTATATATATATATATATATATATATATATATATATATATATATATATATATATATATATATATATATATATATTTAAATTAATATAGGCTGTTACGCATTTAATCTGGTTCATTTCTCTTTTTTTCCCTTTTTCTTTTGGCTAGTAGAAGTTCTAAATGGCCGGTAACTTAAAAATGTAGAAGCCAAATTGGCCGGTGAGTGAAAAGTTTAATTTGAAACCCTGTACGCATTGAATCCACATGTACCAGATGTGGCCCGTGTCTGGGCCGACACTATGCTGCTGTCCGGGTATCAAAAAGAGTCTGAATTTAAGAAACTTTAGCATTAGACATCATTTCTCATTGTATTTACACTGAACAGAAAGAGACATTGTGACACACCTGTGTAAAGGCTGGTCTACAATCACATTCCATATCCAATGGCTCGCTCTGATTGGTTCAAACGTAGACGATATGCAGATGAGGCCAGTCCTTCTGAATTTTCCCTCTGCATGCATGAATTTGCACTAGTCTGAAATGCAGCCCATAGACAGCAAATAAATGATTTTAAGTTCCTGTGTAATTGTTTTTGTTCTGTTTAATCACAAAAATTGGATTCGTTTTAAGATATGTTAATGCAAAAATAATATATTTCTTTACAAATTGTCTATGATTCTTTGTTGATATACGGTATCTTAAATAAAATGACTCATTGTATCATGACTAGAAAATACCTTCATTGTGCTATTAGCTCAAATTTATTTCCAGAAAAGCAAAAGGTAAAGAACTGTTCAAAAGTTTGGAATAATTAAGATTTTTTTTTAGTACTGTTTTTGAAATCAGTCTCTTGTGCTCACCAAAGCTGCATTTATTTGATAAAAAAACTGTAAAATGGTGAAATATTATTCCAATGTAAAACAGCTGTTTTTTTTTCTACGTGAAAGTGTAATTTACTGCTGTGATCAAAGCTGAATTTTCAGCATCATTATGATTACTCCAGTCTTCAGTGTCACATGATCCTTCAGAAATCACTCGAATCACACACACACCTTATAGGCCTGTAGGTGGACTGTACTTGACTTCATTTAACTAACTATGATAGTTTCATCAAACGGTAAACCAATGAGTTGGACACAAATAATAATAAATTCAACTCCAGACTAACGTTTTACTCACCATTAATGCGCTTCTGGTTTGGTTCCATTCACATCCAATAATTTAGTGACACTATTATAAACAAATCTGAGACAAACAACAGATCCAGACCGTTCCACACATGCAATTTCATCTCTCCATTCCGACTGTAAAGAGCGATATGTATTTTTTCTTTCATCCATATCCTGAAACCAGATTGTGCAGTTTAACTTTTCAACCGATTTATGAACAAGCCGGGAAATTCAAATTAACGCGGCATTTCATTGTCCAATGAAAATTGAGCTTGCTGTGCCACATCACGATTGGTTAGTGCTGCGTACACGTGACAAATCGATTATACGAGTTATGTAATGGTTTAAAATATACAATAGATAATATCAGATAAAAATAATGAGGGGGATTCGAGTGATTTGTTACTGTAGACGTCAAATTAATTATAATTCAAACACATTTTGTTTTATTAACCACTGTATTATTATTGTTGATGGGGCACTATTGATTAAGTTAATCAAATTTAGATGAAACTGCCGCACAGACTTTCATAAACTCATTACTCTATCAGTGCATTATAATGTGAGTGTGTTGAGAACGTGTTGGTCTGCAGCGCCACCCTCTGGCGAAATCAATGAAGTGTTTCTATGCAGAAAATAAACAGATCATTTCAGGTTATAAATGTTCTTTTTATTATAATGCATTGGTCATTGTAGTTATCACTCTATGCCTGGCAGCTTTTGTAAAAGACTTCATTCATTATACTGTACATTTCATCAACATAAAGTCAAAGGAAAGCAATGAAGTGAAAATAACCAAGCAAACAAATACAGCAATTATTATTAAATTAAACATAAACAATCTGACATGCGTTTAATTTAACACCATTAGTCTACAATACAGTACAGTATGCTGCTTGTGCATTACTGTAAAAAAGTGTGTGTGTCATTCATTATTGCACATTAAATGTAAACAGTTTGTTTTTGGCAGTGCAAAGACTCAGTTTATAAAGAGGTGCATTATTTATTCTAAAGGGTTTAAATGAGGTTACATGTACAGATTCAAGTAACGTGAGCATATGGATCATGTTTCCCAGAACAACACGGAAAACTCACTTCTTTCTACTTTTATCCCACACATCTGCGAGTTTATCTAGAATTCGTCCAATTCCTTTCCTCTTCACAGTGACATACATTCGACTGAATGCAGAATGATTAATGCAACTTCTATAATTAAAAACAAAATAATTCTCTTGATTTTTAAAGCTAAACGCAAATGGTAATCCTTACATTATTTGATTAGCATTGAGATAATTATAAATACGTTGCTGATCAAACTGGCTGTATAAAATAAACATTTCCAGGACTTTAGCATGCTACGGTTAAAGAACAGGGATCAATCGCACACACAAAGGCACTCAGCAATGTGATTCGTGTCTCATTAGAACAGACACACACCCTCGGGATCGATCCGGTAATGATGACTTCTTAATACACAGCAGAGAATCTACAGCAGCCGTTCCTCAATGTGGCAGAAAACACTGCAAATAATCATGTTTCGGCCTCGTTTTCCAGCACAAACATCAAAACATTCTTAAATGAAGATACATTTACTGGAGAAGAAGCAACATTACTGAAGATATAAAGTCTTGTTTTATGAAAAAATCATTTGTTTGTGCTTGAAACAAGTACAAATATGACAACGGAGTCAGAAAAATCTTCATAAAAAAAATTAATTTTTTCTTGTTTTAAGCATGAACTTAATTTTAAATTTTACGTAACTTCAATTTTAAGTAAACACAACTTAATATCTTCAGTTATTTTGCTTCTACAGTAAATGTATCTTGATTTAAGAATGTTTAGATATTTGTGCTGGAAAACAAGACAAGTCAGCTTTATTTATATAGCGCTTTTTACAATACAGATTGTTTCGAAGCAGCTTTACAGAGATAAGAGGAAAATAACGCAACAAATACTGAAGTTTTTTTTTTTTTGTTGCAAAGTATGCATGTTTTTAACTCAGTTTCAGTGGTTAATTTAAAACAATTGTCTTGTGTCACATTATATGCTCTAAGATTGAGGAAAATCCTTACTTTTTCCCAGTTCTGGTTCCAGTATATGTTTTACATATCAGCACATTAATAACAAACTAAAACTCACAGCATCAGCTTCAAACAACAGCACAACAGAGCACATCGAACGAGACGTCGTGACTCGGACCGGGTCACACTAGAGTTCTGCTGCCCGGTTTTGGGTCGGGTTTGGGTTAATGTTTAATGAATAGCCTTGGGTTCAGGTTTGTAACTAAGAAAAACTATATAGGCTATACATGTATATAGTTTGTGCTTGCTGTGTTGTGACTGAAATAGTGCGAGCGATTTACAGTTTTGTAAAATGATGTGTGAATCATTATATATCATTTTACAAATCTGTTTTGCGCATATATTCCCGCCCACTATTGCAGTCACAGCAATCAGAGGAGGACGGCGCTGAAACCATCAACTGTCGATGCTGTTCTCTTCCTTCATAACTCGTACTGAGAAGGATATATTTGTGTAAATAGTTGTGCAACTGCAGGTTTAATGAGTTTAAGTTTCAGAGGAATTTGTGACTGTTAAACCTGTTTAAACACAGCAAAGTTTCATAATTGGTAAGTCCGTGCCTTTTCTCTTTCTTTTCTTCTTGTGTGCTGAGGGGGCCGCTGTGCCTCGTTGAAACTGTATTTGTATATGTATTTGTTTCATTATCATAATATCAAGCAATCAAAAAAAAAATACAGCATCCACAGGGGGACTTTTTTTTTTTACTGTGAGAAATGGACCTCGGGAGTCGGGTTGGGTTTGGGATTAAAATATAACCATAATGGTCGGGTCAGGTCGGGTCGGGTTAAATGATTTTTGGTACAGGCCGGGTTCAGGCTTCAGTTTAAAGCCCGTGCAGACCTCTAGGTCCCAGTCCTCAGCAAAACTCCTCACCCTGACTCGGACCGGGTCCCAGTCCTCAGCAGATTGAGGAAAATCCTTCATTTATCCCACTTCTGGTTCCAGTATATGTTTAACATATCAGCACATTAATAACAAACTATAACTAACAGCATCAACATCAAACGACAGCAAAACAGAGCACATCGAACGAGATGTTGTGAGACTTTGTGACTCGGACCGGGTCCCAGTCCTCAGCAGAGATCCTCTCCCTGTGGAGTCGTGACTTGGACCGGGTCTCGGTCCTCAGCAGAACTCCTCTCCCTGTGGAGTCGTGTCTCAGACCGGGTCTCAGTCCTCAGCAGAACTCCTCTCCCTGTGGAGTCGTGACTCGGACCGGGTCCCAGTCCTCAGCAGAACTCCTCTCCCTGTGGAGTCGTGTCTCAGACCGGGTCTCGGTCCTCAGCAGAACTCCTCTCCCTGTGGAGTCGTGACTCGGACCGGGTCCCAGTCCTCAGCAGAACTCCTCTCCCTGGGGAGTCGTGTCTCTGACCGAGTCCCAGTCCTCAGCAGAACTCCTCTCCCTGTGGAGTCATGACTCAGACCGAGTCTCAGTCTTCAGCAGAACTCCTCTCCCTGTGGAGTCGTGTCTCTGACCGGGTCTCAGTCCTCAGCAGAACTCCTCTCCCTCTGGAGTCGTGACTCGGACCGGGTCTCAGTCCTCAGCAGAACTCATCTCCCTGTGGAGTCGTGTCTCTGACCAGGTCTCAGTCCTCAGCAGAACTCCTCTCCCTGTGGAGTCGTGTCTCTGACCAGGTCTCAGTCCTCAGCAGAACTCCTCTCCCTGTGGAGTCGTGTGTTGGACCGGGTCTCAGTCTTCAGCAGAACTCCTCTCCCTGTGGAGTCGTGTCTCTGACCGAGTCCCAGTCCTCAGCAGAACTCCTCTCCCTGTGGAGTCGTGTCTCTGACCAGGTCCCAGTCCTCAGCAGAACTCCTCTCCCTGTGGAGTCGTGTCTTGGACCGGGTCTCAGTCCTCAGCAGAACTCCTCTCCCTGTGGAGTCGTGTGTTGGACCGGGTCTCAGTCTTCAGCAGAACTCCTCTCCCTGTGGAGTCGTGTCTCTGACCGAGTCCCAGTCCTCAGCAGAACTCCTCTCCCTGTGGAGTCGTGTCTCTGACCGGGTCTCAGTCCTCAGCAGAACTCCTCTCCCTGTGGAGTCGTGACTCGGACCAGGTCTCAGTCCTCAGCAGAACTGCTCTCCCTGTGGAGTCGTGACTCGGACCAGGTCTCAGTCCTCAGCAGAACTCATCTCCCTGTGGAGTTGTGACTCGGACCAGGTCTCAGTCCTCAGCAGAACTGCTCTCCCTGTGGAGTCGTGACTCGGACCGGGTCCCAGTCCTCAGCAGAACTCCTCTCCCTGTAGAGTCGTGTCTCTGACCGAGTCCCAGTCCTCAGCAGAACTCCTCTCCCTGTGGAGTCGTGACTTGGACCAGGTCTCAGTCCTCAGCAGAACTCATCTCCCTGTGGAGTCGTGACTCGGACCAGGTCTCAGTCCTCAGCAGAACTCCTCTCCCTGTGGAGTCGTGACTCGGACCAGGTCTCAGTCCTCAGCAGAACTCCTCTCCCTGTGGAGTCGTGTCTCAGACCGGGTCTCAGTCCTCAGCAGAACTCCTCTCCTTGTGGAGTCGTGTCTCGGACCGGGTCTTAGTCCTCAGCAGAACTCCTCTCCTTGTGGAGTCGTGTCTCGGACCGGGTCTTAGTCCTCAGCAGAACTCCTCTCCCTGTGGAGTCGTGACTCGGACTGGGTCCCAGTCCTCAGCAGAACTCCTCTTCTTGTGGAGTCGTGTCTCGGACCGGGTCTTAGTCCTCAGCAGAACTCCTCTTTTGTTGAGTCGTGACTCGGACTGGGTCCCAGTCCTCAGCAGAACTCCTCTCCTTGTGGAGTCGTGTATCGGACCGGGTCTCAGTCCTCAGCAGAACTCCTCTCCCTGTGGAGTCGTGTCTTGGACCGGGTCTCAGTCCTCAGCAGAACTCCTCTCCCTGTGGAGTCGTGTCTTGGACCGGGTCTCAGTCCTCAGCAGAACTCCTCTCCCTGTGGAGTCGTGTCTTGGACCGGGTCTCAGTCCTCAGCAGAACTCCTCTCCCTGTGGAGTTGTGTCTCAGACCGGGTCTCAGTCCTCAGCAGAACTCCTCTCCCTGTGGAGTCGTGTCTTGGACCGGGTCTCAGTCCTCAGCAGAACTCCTCTGCCTGTGGAGTTGTGTCTTGGACCGGGTCCCAGTCCTCAGCAGAACTCCTCTCCCTGTGGAGCCGGCAGCTGGTTCAGATCCAGGAACAGGGAGTTGTCGGAGAGCTTGCGTCCAGAGCCAGAGAGGTCCAGAAACTCCTCGCCGGAGCTGCTGGGAACGGAGCTGATGTACATGTCCCACACCTGTTCTGGAGAGTCCAGGTCCAGAAGCTTCTGCTTGATCTTCAGGTTCTTCTCCATGTTCTTCCGCTTGTGTTTGAACTCCAGTATAGTTTTAGTGTATCTGTTGATGGTGGTGACGGAGGAGGCCATGCAGGCGGTGAACGAGCTCCACGCCAGACTGAAGAAAACACCATCCACAGAAATTAAAATCAACATTTGAATTCAACTTAATGTCCCGTGACCCAAATACTGTGTGCATTTTTATTAATGTGAAATTTAAATAATTTATAAGTTTTTTTTGGTCAAGTTAATCAATATACTGTATATATATATATATATTAGGGCTGTGCAACGATTAATACAAATAAAAGTTTGTGTTTACATAATATTTGTGTGTGTACTGTGTATAATTATTTTGTATATATAAATGCACACACATGCATGTATATATTTAAGAAAAATGTGTTATTTATATATAATATAAATTATGTATAAATATATATACATGCAAATATGTCTTAAATATATACATGCATATGTGTGTATTTATATATACAAAATAATTATACACTGTACACACACATATATTATGAAAACACAAACTTTTATTTTGGATGTGATTAATCGCAATTAATCGTTACCCAGCACTATTATATATATATATATATAAATATAATATGCAAGCAAAAAAGTATTATAATATTAGACAGCTTTTTTCAACTCACATTTAAGTGTCATATCAGTTCCCTTTCGAGGGAACTCGCACTGCGTCGATGACGACACTATGGGGAACGTCTCTTAGCATAGCGCGTCTGAAGCATGAATCCAATCCTATTGGTGTTGCGTGATGACGTAGCGTGTGGCGGCATACACGAAAGCTACAAAGGGACACCGGCACACAACAGCGTTAGCTTTCGCTCTGTGTTATGTGATTGTCTATTTGGTGTTGTCTGTGATATATATATAAATGGCAAGTGAGCAGTTCAGGAAGTGTGTGCATCCCTGCCCTCGCTTTATCACGGGTGGGGACACACATGAGATGTGTGTGTACTGCTCCCGCCTGGCTATATTTGATGAAGCCGGCCAGGCTCGCGCTCCCCGCAGTTCGGGTCCGATCAGATCGTGGGGCTCGGAGAGGGGATTGAGACTGCTTCGGCACTTTCTTGGTCCTCATCTGATAGCTCAGATCCCTTCACTCCCTGTGCGGAAGCCCGCCCTGCAGATTCTTCCCCTCGGGTTGACAGCCCGGTGCTGCAGCTGTTTGATTCAGATGTGGACGTGCTCAGCATCGCGGCAGGGGGATCTGGATGAGTCACACATGCCATTTCACTCTGCACCCGTGTATGAAGAGCTCGTGGAGGTTGTGACGCGTGCTGTGGCCAAATGAAACATCAGTTGTCCACAAGAGAGGCAGGAAGCGCAGGCTAGAAGCAAGCTTGATGAGCGCTTTCTGCAGCACCGATCACAGCCTTCATGCCGGGGTTTGCCGTTCTTTCCATACATACACAATGAGTTGTGTAAGTCATGGAACAGGCCATTTTCCCCGCGCATGTCCCCCTAATCCCCCGGTGTTGGATTATAGCAACATCGAGGGGGTTAAGGAGAATGGTTATGGGATGATGCCACGTGTTGAGGAGGCTTTGGGCAGCTATCTCTCCCCAGACGTTGCGTCATCCCTTAAAGCCCCGGCGCTGCCAAAAAACAGACCGCAGCGTTCAAGCAGTATCTCCCTCTCCATTCAAGGTCCAAAAAGGCTGCCGCCAGGGGTCAGCCTCAGCCGTCATCGAGCTCCTCATACCGACAGGGCCAAAAGGAGAGTGTCGCTTCTAGAGGTCCCCCTCAAAGAGCTTGGGACTCTAGGCGGCGCTCTCACCCACAGCCTCCTGAGAAGGCAGATCTGAGGACCCTCCTTCAGGCCAGGAAGGCAAAGGGAAAAAGGGTCCTAACTCATGTGAGACCTCTGAGGGCCGGCCCCCCCGAGAGAGAGCGATCAAGATCCCCGCCGCCACTGGCACTTCGGGACGCATCGGTTTCCAGTGAAACGCTGCTCTGTCCACCCCACAGGCTTGCGGCCAGGCAGCGCTCCGAGAGTCATTTTCAATTATTCCTAGCCGGTCCTCGACTTCAGGGTATCATGAAGGGCTCTCACAAAACACTCGACACCAGCCCTGAAAGTTCAATGGGGTGGTCTGGACTGCAGTAGACCCAGAGCAGGGTCGGGTGTTAGAACAGGAAGTTCACTCTCTGCTGGTAAAGGAGGCAATAGAACATGTTTCTCCACCAGACAGGGAGTCCGGGTTCTACAGCCGGAACTTCATAGTTCCAAAGAAGGATGAAGGGTTGCGTCCAATTTTAGATCCAAGACATCTGAATCGGTCTCTGAGGAGATTCAGGTTCAAGATGCTCACCATTCTCATTATTGTGAGCCAGATCAGATCCGAGGACTGGTTTGTCACGATAGATCTAAAGGACGCATACTTCCATGTCTCCATCCTTCCATCTCACAGGAAGTTCCTGAGGTTCGCTTTCGGGGCGAAGCGTACCAATATCGGGTTCTTCCGTTCGGCCTAGCATTCTCCCCTTGCACCTTCACCAAGGGCATGGATGCAGCTCTAGCTCCGCTGAGGCTCCAGGGCATCTGTGTGCTAAATTATATCGACGACTGGCTCATTTCGGCCCAGTCTCGAGAACTGGCAGTTCGGCATCGGCTTTTGGCCTGCTGCACATGAGAGCCACTGAGGGGAAATCCGTTCTGCATGATAAGGGTTACGTGCAGATGCCTTCGTTCCCTATCTATGTGGAAGAAACCTTGGTTTCTGTCCCAAGGTCCTGTGCTGGGAGCGTCATGTCGCCGGAAAGCCGTTTAGACAGACGCATCCCTCATGTCCCAGGGGACCAGAACTGTGGAGGCAGGGGCTGAGGCCCGACGTGGTGGAGCCGATATGCGAGACCCAGTTAACTGCCCAGTGGCTTCAGTGCTGGAGTTCCTCCAAGACTGCTTCTCGGCTGGTCTTACCCCGTCCACACTCAAAGTGTACGTGGCTGCCATTGGGGCCTTTAATGCTCCTCTGGGTGATGGGCCTCTGGGGAGACATCAGCTGGTTGTATGTTTCCTCCGTGGGGCTCGGAGGATGAGACCTGCGGATTGTACCAGAGTTCCCACATGGGACCTGGCAGTGGTTCTTGAAGGGCTGGTCTAGGCCCCCTTCGAACCTCAGGAGTCGGCTGAGGCCAAGAACCTGTCACTTAAGGTGGTCTTTCTCCTTGCCATTACCTCTCTTGAGAGGGTAGGAGATCTCCAGGCGCTCTCCATATCTCTGCAGTGCCTGGAGTTTGCTCCTGGGAAAATTAAGGCCATCTTGGACCCCAGACCGGGCTATGTGCCTAAGGTGCCGTCTAATATGGCGAGGTCGACGGTTCTGCAGGCATTTCATCCTCCACCTCATGTGACAGCGGAAGATGTAAGACTAAATTTGCTCTGCCCTGTCAGAGCACTTAACATCTATGTTCAGAGGTATTCTCAGTGGAGGAAGGCGGACCAGTTGCTGGTGTGTTTCGGGTCACCCAAGAAGGGTCTCCCCGCTTCTAAACAGACCATCAGCTGGATTGCTCAGGCTATTTCCCTGGCCTATCAGGTGCCCAGTTTGCCTTCACCTTTGGCCGTGAGGGCTCACTCTACCAGAGGCATGGCATCCTCTAGAGTCCTCCTTTCAGTTGCACCTATTCATGAGGTGTGTGATACAGCTGGCTGGGCCACTCCGCACACATTCATGAGGATTTATAGTCTGAACCTCCCCTCTACACCCAGCACACGAGGGCTCTCGTCCTAGTTGTGCCTGAGTCAGCTTCACACTGGGACAGGCAGGGCTCGTTGTGGCATAGTGGGTATTTCGTTCCCCATAGTGTCGTCATCGACGCAGAGCGAGTTCACTCAAAATGGAACGTCTCGGGTTACGACTGTAACCCTTGTTCCCTGAGAAGGGAACTCGCACTGCGTCGATGACGACACTATGGGGAACGAGTACCCACTATGCCACAACGAGCCCTGCCTGGGAACGACTTGCTTCATCGTGAAGCTAACACTGTTGTGTCCCTTTGTAGCTTCCGTGTATGCCGTCACACGCTACGTCATCACGCAACGCCAATAGGATTGGATTAGTTTCATTCATGCTTCAGACGCGTTACGCTAAGAGGTGTTCCCCATAGTGTCGTCATCGTAACCCTAACCCTAACCCGAGACGTTTTTCGATTGCAGTCAAAGACACTGGACGCATGTATTGCTTCCCTAAACATGAGTGAACGTACATGTAAGACCAGCTGTAGTCCCAGTTCTGTGGTTTCCAGTCCTCAGGGCCGAGACTCACGGTCAGCTGGAACGCTGTGGTGAACATCATGTGAGCCACCATACCCAGAAGACCTGAAGATCAGAGAAACACACTTACGGTTACAGACTCTCTCTGTCTCTCTCTCTCTCTCTCTCTCTCTCTCTCTCTCTCTCACACACACACACACACACACACACTAGGGATGGGCGATACCACTTATTTTGTTTTCGATACGATACCGATACTTTCAAGGCCAGTGTCGCCGATGCCGATACGATACCTCTAAACTGAACTTTGACATTTTTTTTAATTTCTTAAATTATTGAATTACTTAGAGTAAAATGGGTAATGATACCTAATTGACAATATATTTAAAAGGCATTTTAACATTCAATACACCTTAATTGGAATTTATAGGATTATATTTTTGTTTACACATGGTTCAAATGTTTGTAACACACAACACTGTTCCCACCCTATAAAAACAGATTTATAGCTATTTTTTTTGTGTGATTAAGGAAGCAGTTATAATCGATACGCCCATCCCTAACACACACACACACACACACACTCACTCTCACACATGCACGCACGCACTCACTCACTCACACACACACACACACACACACACACACACACACACACACACACACACACACAAAAACTCACTCACTCACTCACTCACTCACACACACACACTCACTCACTCACTCACTCACTCACACACACACACACACTCACTCACTCACTCACTCACTCACTCACTCACTCACTCACACACACACACACACGGCAAACTGGACATAATCGACACAACTCAGGACAATCACACAGAAACGTGGAGGACGGAGGTTAAACTGCACATTATTTACAGCTCAGAGTCTCTGTTAATCTACTGAACATCAGAGAAATCACTGAAGGAGATCAGAGACGTTTGCAGCTCTCAGGCGATCTGTGGCTCTTATACTATCATCATGTCCATCTAAACACACACACACACTCATAGTATCCTCATGTCCATCTAAACCCCGTCACGCGTGGGAAACGAGATCATCTGACCCATAACCCTCATGTTTCCATGACAACCACAGTGAGGCGCCTGCATGCTGACATCATCACAAACACACAAGTCAATAATAATGATAATAATAATATAGCGCTTGTTAACTGCATTATTTGATGGATCAGTCGATCTGTCGTTCACCACAGTCCTGATCAGCTCTTCGTCGTCTCGTGTTTCAGAACGAATGATTGATTCCCTCAGCTTGAATATATAATGCGCTAAAACACAAAAGAGGTTCTCAAGAGACTCTCAGTTGTCGAATCTCAGCGGCGCTCCTGGATATTCAGACCTGACACACTGCTTTCGGATACGAGCCACAGGAAAGCCAATCAGCTCATACTAAACTTCCTCATACTAAACTATTATAATACTTTAGGAGACTTACAATAATACTACTGGTAACACGTTAAGTTGTTTACTTGTAAATGTAATTAATGAACAATAATTCCTGTAATTAAAATAATGAAAAGGAAAAACATAAATCATTATTACAAACAGTTGATTTTTTTTTTTAAAGTTACATACTAGCAAAAAACTGCAACAATATTTTTAAAGTATAAAACTCTTATAAACAATACCATGCATATGGCTGACGAGATATAGATTTTATCAAATCATAATTACCATTCATGACCTCTAAAGTGAACATTAGCCATTAAAGACATAATTGATAACTAATTGGTGCAGCAAACAAGTGTCTCTGGAAATATTTTATATTTGATCATTTATAAATCAGTGTATAATGGATTATGAGCATGGAGATTGAAAAAGCAAATGCATGACTTATAAGTTATGAAAATAATATAAATGTGACTACAACTGTTCTTATAATGCAGTTTAGGTCTTAATGAGTCTTTATAAATATATTTATAGAATAGTAATACTTAATTAACTATAATTCATTATAAGCATGGGCTTCATAGAACATGTTACAAAACTACTTTTTACTTGTACTTTTATGGTGCTTTTTTCCTCCTTTTTGAGAACATCTGTTCCTCAAGAGAAAGAAAGTCATGCCGAACTATTTCTTTAACTTTAGGAACATATTGTGTATTAAAGTACTTTAGTGTTTTGTCGATGTGTTATTAGATCCACAACACATAATTAGCTATGCGACTCATTAAAGTGAAACTTCTCATCATGCTTGAACGCATCTCTTCTGCTGATTGTTTCAGAGGAAGACAGGAGCTAATTGAGGTTGTAGCTCGCCCTTCCCATGATGCACTGCTTCCATGATCCCGCTCTCTCCAAGACGCCAGGCTCGGCGGAGATGCGACAGGAAGTCATAAGTTCATCCCTCATTATGCAATATTAAAACTCTAGCATGAGCACAAAAGGTGTGTTTCACACACATTCAGGATCATACAAGCCTAGCTTTTAATTTGAATTTTTAAGCCAAGTGCGTATTTAATTTATGATATGGGAGGTGTTCATTTTAATGTTTGGTGTAAATCTGAAGTGTCCAAATGGTAAGATATGGCATTAAGTATAATAATATTACATATTTTCACTTTTACATTATTATAACTTTGACTATATAATATAATATGTCAAAATGATAATATCTTTCCTTTATTATTATTATTATTATTATTAATAGTAGTAGTTGTATTAATAATAATAATAATAATAATATTTAAAGTTGATATTTTAGCAGTTTGACTATTCATATATATTCTTCATAATATAATATAATATAATATAATAGTCAAAATGATCATTTCTAACCTTTATTATTATTAGTAGTAGTAGTAGTGGTGGTATTAATAATAATAATAATAATATTTAAAGGTGAGATATTTAGTTTGACTATTCATATAGATTCTTCATAATATAATATAATATATAATGTAATAAAATATATGTAATGTGATATAATATAAAAATTATAATATTTTACCATTATTATTATGTCACCTCTTTATATTGTATTATTATATTATATTGTAAAATTGTATTATATTAATAACATAAATATTGGCTGTACAGTGCAACTCCCTCTCAATACAATGGGCTTGCATCCTGAAATATATATATATTTATAGATAACTAGGACAGGATTTAAGCAGATTGAAATTCGACACATATGTCACCATAAGCCCTTAAATTGTGAAACTGTCAGAAATATCCTGGACGACATTCAGGAGTTCAGGCTTCCCAATACTGGGAGGCTTATATGTGATTTTGAGCCGGATGGTTTATATGTATCTGGGGAAAGGCAGGGCTCTGAGATAACACATAAATGCAAAAGCATTCACTACAAAAGACGAGCAGAGGCTCAATCCACCAGTAATTGCATCTCTGTTGCTGTTTCCATCCATTTTGGGATTTTGCATTAAAAACACTAGATGTAAAAAGCAATAAATGCACATAAAAACATATGCACTCAATTGAGGCGGATAATTGTTTTATCCGATTAGAAGACAAGCATATAAACTGATGGAAACACATTTACTGAATAAATCCCTCGATGCGTAACTTAACCCTCAGCTGTGATTGGATAACTGGAGTAACCAGCGGACCAATGGCGTCGCAGCGTCTCTAATGTTGGTTTGGTGTTTCTGAAAGTGGAAGTGTGTGATCAGAGTGATTGGGTGTAATTGCCTCCAGAAGCGTCTCACACACACGAGTGTGTTCCCGGACACCAGCATCCGAACGCCAGAGAACACGACAGCGTTTACTGTGTTTCGTCTGACGCGACACACACTCGTTTATGATGGAGGGAGACACAACCAGAAATTTCTCCAAAAAAAATCTCAGTGAGTCTGGTGACCTTTGAAGGATAAAGCCGTGGATAATCATCAGAGAGCAGAAACAAGCACATGCAGATCTTATACAGTCAAACCAAACATTATTCAGACACCGGATATCATGTTTACTAGTGTGTGCAGGACACTATAGTTCATTTATGTAAGTGAGGAGAGCAAAATAAAGTAAACTGTGACATATTACACCCAACAATTCTTCAAATTTATACAAATTTGGGAGCAGAAATGATTCCTCCACTTTGAGCTGATCATGTTTTGCTGAAGTGTGTTTTCTGTAATTGCTAATGCTCTTTTTACACACACACTGAACAACATGAAGCATTGCTTGGTCACTGGTTGAGCTAAACTGGTATTATCTAATTGTGTAGTTAAATTTAACAGCTGACAGATATTCAACATAATTCATGTGTGAGAGTCTAACAGAAGGACGGACAAAACCAGTCAAATATCCACTGATCTGAGAACTCTGAGTTCTGCTCATATTTATCACCATTTATAAACTATAGCGAATAAACTGATAATGTGAGAAATGTTGAAGGAGTCTGAATACATTCTGGTTTGGCTGTGTATACTGTATATATATTACTCACTTTTAGTTCATGTTAGTTAATGCATTAACTAATGTTAACAAATGAGACCTTATTGTGAAGCATCACCAAAATAATAAGCACATGCTGATCATGTACAACAGGTTTACCTGATAAGACTGTGAATATGGCGGCAAAGGCATTCAGCTTCAGTCCATCGATGACGTTCCCGAAATGGCAGACCTCTATAGACATGAGGATTCCTCCAGTGGCCAGAAGTAAAATATAGAGACACTCGGCCGCGATGCAGAGCCACAACACACCTGAGGATTCGGGAGAGAAACGAGGGAGTCAAAGAGGGAATAATGGATGGTTTTATCAGGAAGCGGATGGAGCCGCTGATTAAGACTGACACTTATCCTAGCAACAGCGGCGGCCTTAAGCATCTGGGGGCCGTTTCAATTACTAATATGGGGCCCTACCCACATAAAACATAAACATAATAGAGCAGAATAAGCAAGGATTCCTGTTGGTTTGCATCAATGGTATATTATTTTATCACGTGCACTTTCAGCTTCATGAACAGGCAGCTCAACATAGAAATAATCCAACCTTATTTGATTAAAACTATATACAATTATACAGCGTTTTACGTTGGAATAAGCCTCGCCCTTTCACGCAGGGCAACTTCACCGCTTCATTGATTTGAGCAGTATATTTTCAGCTGTCTATTTAATGGCAAAAAAGGCAAAGGTATAAATAAATACATAAACTACCGATATTCTACTTCAGATCGCTTAAGCCGTTCGCAGGGGTGGTAAACGTCACCATGGTAACCACGAGTTCGACCAATCAGAGACATCAGTGTTTTGTTTAGACTTGTGGGTAGTGTAGTATTTCTCCAGAACATCGCAAATAACAAGGTTGATTTCATACCTTATGGCTTTTATAGAAGCAGAAACTTTCGTTCCACAACCTCGTAGCTCGTGGTCAATCTACCTTAAATGGTTTAGACATTATGGCTGAAAATCAATATCCTACGGAGAAAATGAATGGGATTTTGCTGGTCTGTTGGGGCCCCCCTTGGAGGGCGGGGCCTGTTTCAATTGAAAGGGGTGAAACATAAGTAAGGCCGCGTCTGCCTAGCAAGCAATAGCCGTCATTTCACCGTCTAGGTTACCTATAGACCCGATATAGTCTGGCTATGAGTGGATTAACTATAGACCCGATATAGTCCAGCTATGAGTAGGTTAACTATAGACCCGATATAGTCCAGCTATGAGTGGATTAACTATAGACCCGATATAGTCCGGCTATGAGAAGGTTAACTATAGACCCGATATAGTCCGGCTTTGAGAAGGTTAACTATAGACCCGATATAGTCCGGCTTTGAGAAGGTTAACTATAGACCTGATATATAGTCCGGCTATGAGTAGGTTAACTATAGACCCGATATAGTCCGGCTTTGAGAAGGTTAACAATAGACCCGATATAGTCCGGCTATGAGTAGGTTAACTATAGACCCGATATAGTCCGGCTATGAGTAGGTTAACTATAGACCCGATATAGTCCGGCTATGAGTAGGTTAACTATAGACCCGATATAGTCCGGCTTTGAGAAGGTTAACTATAGACCCGATATAGTCCGGCTATGAGTAGGTTAACTATAGACCCGATATAGTCCGGCTATGAGTAGGTTAACTATAGACCCGATATAGTCCGGCTATGAGTAGGTTAACTATAGACCCGATATAGTCCGGCTTTGAGAAGGTTAACAATAGACCCGATATAGTCCGGCTATGAGTAGGTTAACTATAGACCCGATATAGTCCGGCTATGAGTAGGTTAACTATAGACCCGATATAGTCCGGCTATGAGTAGGTTAACTATAGACCCGATATAGTCCGGCTATGAGTAGGTTAACTATAGACCCGATATAGTCCAGCTATGAGTAGGTTAACTATAGACCCGATATAGTCCAGCTATGAGTAGGTTAACTATAGACCCGATATAGTCCAGCTATGAGTAGGTTAACTATAGACCCGATATAGTCCAGCTATGAGTAGGTTAACTATAGACCCGATATAGTCCAGCTATGAGTAGGTTAACTATAGACCCGATATAGTCCAGCTATGAGTAGGTTAACTATAGACCCGATATAGTCCAGCTATTAGTAGGTTAACTATAGACCCGATATAGTCCAGCTATGAGTAGGTTAACTATAGACCCGATATAGTCCAGCTATGAGTAGGTTACTATAGACCCGATATAGTCCAGCTATGAGTAGGTTAACTATAGACCCGATATAGTTCAGCTATGAGTAGGTTAACTATAGACCCGATATAGTCCAGCTATGAGTAGGTTAACTATAGACCCGATATAGTCCATCTATGAGTAGGTTAACTATAGACCCGATATAGTCCGGCTATGAGTAGGTTAACTATAGACCCGATATAGTCCAGCTATGAGTAGGTTAACTATAGACCCGATATAGTCCAGCTATGAGTAGGTTAACTATAGACCCGATATAGTCCAGCTATGAGTAGGTTAATTATAGACCCGATATAGTCCAGCTATGAGTAGGTTAACTATAGACCCGATATAGTCCATCTATGAGTAGGTTAACTATAGACCCGATATAGTCCGGCTATGAGTAGGTTAACTATAGACCCGATATAGTCCGGCTATGAGTAGGTTAACTATGGACCCGATATAGTCCAGCTATGAGTAGGTTAACTATAGACCCGATATAGTCCGGCTATGAGTAGGTTAACTATAGACCCGATATAGTCCAGCTATGAGTAGGTTAACTATAGACCCGATATAGTCCGGCTATGAGTAGGTTAACTATAGACCCGATATAGTCCAGCTATGAGTAGGTTAACTATAGACCCGATATAGTCCAGCTATGAGTAGGTTAACTATAGACCCGATATAGTCCGGCTATGAGTAGGTTAACTATAGACCCGATATAGTCCAGCTATGAGTAGGTTAACTATAGACCCGATTTAGTCCGGCTATTAGTAGGTTAACTATAGACCCGATATAGTCCAGCTATGAGTAGGTTAACTATAGACCCGATATAGTCCAGCTATGAGTAGGTTAACTATAGACCCGATATAGTCCAGCTATGAGTAGGTTAACTATAGACCCGATATAGTCCGGCTATGAGTAGGTTAACTATAGACCCGATATAGTCCAGCTATGAGTAGGTTAACTATAGACCCGCTATAGTCCAGCTATGAGTAGGTTAACTATAGACCCGATATAGTCCGGCTATGAGTAGGTTAACTATAGACCCGATATAGTCCAGCTATGAGTAGGTTAACTATAGACCCGATATAGTCCAGCTATGAGTAGGTTAACTATAGACCCGCTATAGTCCAGCTATGAGTAGGTTAACTATAGACCCGATATAGTCCGGCTATGAGTAGGTTAACTATAGACCCGATATAGTCCAGCTATGAGTAGGTTAACTATAGACCCGATATAGTCCGGCTATGAGTAGGTTAACTATAGACCCGATATAGTCCGGATATGAGTAGGTTAACTATAGACCCGATATAGTCCAGCTATGAGTAGATTAACTGTAAACCCGATATAGTCCGGCTATGAGTAGATTAACTGTAGACCCGATATAGTCCGGATATGAGTAGATTAACTATAGACCCGATATAGTCCGGATATGAGTAGATTAACTGTAGACCCGATATAGTCCGGCTATGAGTAGATTAACTGTAGACCCGATATAGTCCGGATATGAGTAGATTAACTATAGACCCGATATAGTCCGGATATGAGTAGATTAACTGTAGACCCGATATAGTCCAGCTATGAGTAGGTTAACTATAGACCCGATATAGTCCAGCTATGAGTAGGTTAACTATAGACCCGATATAGTCCGGCTATGAGTAGGTTAACTATAGACCCGATATAGTCCGGATATGAGTAGGTAACTATAGACCCGATATAGTCCAGCTATGAGTAGGTTAACTATAGACCCGATATAGTCCGGCTATGAGTAGGTTAACTATAGACCCGATATAGTCCAGCTATGAATAGGTTAACTATAGACCCGATATAGTCCAGCTATGAATAGGTTAACTATAGACCCGATATAGTCCAGCTATGAATAGGTTAACTATAGACCCGATATAGTCCAGCTATGAGTAGGTTAACTATAGACCCGATATAGTCCAGCTATGAGTAGGTTAACTATAGACACGATATAGTCCGGATATGAGTAGGTTAACTATATACCCGATATAGTCCGGATATGAGTAGGTTAACTATAGACCCGATATAGTCCAGCTGTGAATAGGTTAACTATAGACCCGATATAGTCCAGCTATGAGTAGGTTAACTATAGACCCGATATAGTCCAGCTATGAGTAGGTTAACTATAGACCCGATATAGTCCAGCTATGAGTAGGTTAACTATAGACCCGATATAGTCCGGCTATGAGTAGGTTAACTATAGACCCGATATAGTCCGGCTATGAGTAGGTTAACTATAGACCCGATATAGTCCGGATATGAGTAGGTAACTATAGACCCGATATAGTCCAGCTATGAGTAGGTTAACTATAGACCCGATATAGTCCGGCTATGAGTAGGTTAACTATAGACCCGATATAGTCCAGCTATGAGTAGGTTAACTATAGACCCGATATAGTCCGGCTATGAGTAGGTTAACTATAGACCCGATATAGTCCGGATATGAGTAGGTAACTATAGACCCGATATAGTCCAGCTATGAGTAGGTTAACTATAGACCCGATATAGTCCGGCTATGAGTAGGTTAACTATAGACCCGATATAGTCCAGCTATGAATAGGTTAACTATAGACCCGATATAGTCCAGCTATGAATAGGTTAACTATAGACCCGATATAGTCCAGCTATGAATAGGTTAACTATAGACCCGATATAGTCCAGCTATGAGTAGGTTAACTATAGACCCGATATAGTCCAGCTATGAGTGGGTTAACTATAGACACGATATAGTCCAGCTATGAGTAGGTTAACTATAGACACGATATAGTCCGGATATGAGTAGGTTAACTATAGACCCGATATAGTCCAGCTATGAGTAGGTTAACTATAGACCCGATATAGTCCAGCTATGAGTAGGTTAACTATAGACCCGATATAGTCCAGCTATGAGTGGGTTAACTATAGACCCGATATAGTCCAGCTATGAGTAGGTTAACTATAGACCCGATATAGTCCAGCTATGAGTAGGTTAACTATAGACACGATATAGTCCGGATATGAGTAGGTTAACTATAGACCCGATATAGTCCAGCTATGAGTAGGTTAACTATAGACCCGATATAGTCCGGATATGAGTAGGTAACTATAGACCCGATATAGTCCAGCTATGAGTAGGTTAACTATAGACCCGATATAGTCCGGCTATGAGTAGGTTAACTATAGACCCGATATAGTCCGGCTATGAGTAGGTTAACTATAGACCCGATATAGTCCGGCTATGAGTAGGTTAACTATAGACCCGATATAGTCCGGCTATGAGTAGGTTAACTATAGACCCGATATAGTCCGGATATGAGTAACACACTTCTAGCCAAAATAACCTTGAATTTGGTTACATGTCGTTTTTGCCAAAATAACTTGCGATATGTATGATATTCCATCATGTAAGCAAAGTAAACAGTGATTACAAGGTGTTTGGTTTCATTTCTTCACTCATTTCATTTCTTTGTTATCTCATAGATGATTAGTCTAGTCTTGGGATTTGGTTTAGACGTCTATTATTTTTCACTGACAGCCCAAATGTTGCCTTGTTTTAGTCTAGACGTCTGGCTGTGTTTGGACGGCTATTAGACGTTTTTTTAAATGCAAAATTGCTTGCTGGGTTCGCAGACAAACACAACCTCGTTCAGACGGGCCTCCTATCCTGCTCACGGGGAGCGTATGAAATATTGAAATACACTTGACACTGAGATTTAAAAGCAGAATTCAGCTTTGAAAGCATGAGGATACATATACATATTTCATAGACTTCACTGAAACGTTTCATGCTGCCACATGTATGGAAGTAATGTAATGCCAAATGTTTTTGAGACAAAAAGCTTGTTGAATTGCACTAATTGAAAAAGATATGCATTGCATTAACCATGCTTGCATTTTAAAGCATTGTATTTTTTAGGGCTGGCATTTTAATAATGAAAATGTGTGTGAAATGTTTTGAATATTCACAGCTTAAATATACAACCATGTTGAATTTCATTCAGCCCATACAAAAAATGCAAGCCCTAAAAATATAATGCAATACAATATTTTTGTTGAAAACCGTGATGCTTTTAATTGTTCAGGATTCTTTGATGAATAGAACGATTTTATTTGAGATATTATTTTTGATTAATTTAATGCATCCTTCCTAAATAAAATTAATACTTTCTTAAAAACGAAACTGCTTTCAATATTTAGGAAACCCCATCATAACATCAGATACACATGAATGTTTTTAAAAGCACATAAAAACCAAAAGTAAAAAATATTTTCCCTTTCTTCTATCATGGACACTGCTCTTTGTGATTGACCCATATATGAGCCGACTGAACATGTTTCCCACACACTGACTAAAGCACAGACTTACTCATCAATAACACTGAGACTATAATCTAGAAGATAGTACATGCATTCATTTCCAGGGATTTAAAACATATAAAGATGATTATTTATATCTTTATCTCTGCGTTCAGTGCAGAATGTTGAGTTACAGTGTGAAGTCGGGATGTCATGATTAACTATCATTACAGCCGACGGATCTTTTGCCTGGATCGTGTATCTGTCAATTATCCTGGAAACAATTGTGCTAAAGATGCAGCGCTGAGCGGACGGACCCTTATTGACACGCTCGTATATCTAGATGAATGAGAACGAGGCAGGTGTGCGGGCTTGATTAAAAATGACTGGACCTCCAGACATGAGCGAAATATCTCATACAGGAGAACCGCTTTCATTAATATTCACAACATCATGCAGAATCTCAGCTGGTAATTAAGAATGACAGAACGAACCTCTCTCATGGGGAGGAGCGACGTTTATGAAGCTTCGGCATTTCTCACCTGCATTTAGGAAAAAAGAGTGTGAATACATTGGTGTTTTGATTCAAAGCATTTGATTCATTTTCAATGTTGTAAAAAAAACGTTAGAGAAAAAAAAAACGACCGATTTTAGTAACCGAGTAATAACTTCAATCTAACCAACAGGTTAGATTGAAGTTATTACTCGGTTACTAAAATCGGTCACACTTCAGATTAGGGTCCATTTCTCACTATGATTTTTGCCTCAATAAACACCTAATTACTGCTTATTAATAGTTAGTTTAGTTTAGGTATTGTATAAGAATGTAGAATATGATCATGCAGAGTGTGGGCTTTATAAGTACTAATAAACAGCCAATATCCTAGTAATATGCATGATAATAAGCAACTAGTTAATAGTGAGAATTGGACCCGAAACTAAAGTGTTAGCAAAAAATCATACTGTTGTATAAATATATATTCTTTTGTGCATTAGAGTGTTTAATGTTGCCAGGAAATCAAAATGCACTGAAAGGTAGCGTTTCATATTCCTCATAACTCGAATCAGAATCAGTTCCTCTTGCAGCATCTCTTCTCCTCTCTGATGATGTGGGCGGGGCTATAACCTGTCACTCACATGAGATCAGCCAATAGCAAACCACAACCATCCAATCAACTCCACACAGACACAATCAAGCCCCGCCCACATGTGTTCTTGTTCCTGAAGCGTTTCACTCGATATACGACACAATAGAGGAGAAAAAGAGCAGGGCAACTTCTTTGAATGCCTACATTAATACATGTTTTATGTAATATGTGCATTTTACTTTCATGATTGCTACCCAGATGATGTTCTGTGTTTGTGTCAGTAACATAATGTGCTCTGTCTATATATTCTCATCTGTTTCTGAAAAGTCATCACATGCTCTTCCATTGTAAATATTTTAATAGCTTAAGCAGTTTGATATTAACATTATATAATTTAAATGACATATTGTACAGTACTGTACAATATACACTCACCGGCCACTTTATTAGGTACACCTGTTCAACCCATTAACACAAATATCTAATCAGCCAATCACAGGGCAGCAACTCTTTGATGACGACGATCTGCTGAAGTTCAAAGCGAGCATCAGAACGAGGAAGAGAGTGATTTAAGTGACTTTGAACGTAGCGTGGTTGATGCTGGTGTGAGTGTTGCAGAAACGGACGATCCATGGGAGTTTCACACACAACCATCTCTAGGGTTTACAGAGAAATGGCTGAAAAATAGGAAATATCCAGTGTGTGAAAATGCCTGAAAAAGGGCAACAGTATCTCAAATAATCACTCGTTACGACTAGGGTTGGGAATTGAAAATCGATTCCAATTCTGGGATCGAATACTTGCGGTCAGGAATCGGATACTTGTTATGAAATTTAAATTTTGATTCCTCTTATCGATTCCTTTGTGAGCACTTCAATATGAGGTTAAATCATTAAAGCGCGAGAGACTGTTTTCTGTGTTCATGTGTATCAGTATAGCTCGCATTGATAACACTAATCAAACAACAGAAGACAAAGAGAAAATTCACTCGTTCTATACTGAATAACTTTTGCAACTATATTTGTAATATATATTTTATTTATAAACTGCAGTGTTATTGTACATTTGATTACGGTTTCTGCACCTGAACACCTGGAAATCTTCAAACACTGTTTACGTATCTTTGTTCAGTTGTATTTATTTGTGCGATTGCTAATTTTTTATTTGTTCTTTTTTAATGACTGAGTGTTGTCTTTAATAATGCTTAAAATGTACATTAGTTCGGCTAGTTGTTTTTCTATGGTGTTTTTAAACCACAGGCAAACGTTCCTTGTGTAAGTGTTCTTTAGCCTGTTGATGTTTGTTCATGATATTCAGTTTTGTTCATAAGTTTATAAGTTAACCTTATTGGAATCAAAATTAGGAATCAATGAGTATCGGAATCGATAAGCAGAATTGAAATCGGAATCACTAAAATTAAAACGATACCCAACCCTAGTTACCAGTATGCAGAAGCCCTAGTCTGCAGAAGACTACTAGTCTTCTGCAGACTAGTAGTCTTCTGGTAGACCCAACCCTAGGTAGACCCAACCCTAGTCTGCAGAAGACCTCACACACACACACACACACACACACACACACGCACACACACACACACACACACACACGTCTGGTCCACTATCTTTGTGGGGACTCTCCATAGACATAATGGTATACTGTACAAACTGTATATTCTGTCCCCTTACACTAACCCTAGCCCTAAACCTGCCCATCACACACACACACACACACACCTCCTGTCAGATGGGAACTGCAAACTGAGGCTACGATTCACACGGACTCACTAAAACTGGACTATAGAAGATTGGAAAAACATCGTCTTTTGTATCATCGTTTGTAAACCAAATGAAAGCATGGATCCATCCTCTCGTATCCGCGGTTCAGCTGGAGTAATAGTGTTGAGGATCGTTTCTTGCCACTCTTTGGGCCTCTTAGTGCCAATTGAGCATTGTTTAAACACCACATCTTCTGATGGACTTCCAGCAGGATAACACACACACACACAAACACACACACCACAAAGCTCAAATCATCTCAAACGGGTTCACATAACTCCAACATCTCCACAGTCACCAGATCTCAGTCTAATAGAGCAGATTTGGGATGTTGTGGAACAGGAGATTCTCATCATGGATGTGCAGATGATAAATCATGTCAATATAGACCAGAATATCCGAGGAGTGTTTCCAGCACTTTGTTGTAGTTTTGGGCGATAAAACGGTATCGGTATTTATCGACGGTAACGATATAAAAAATGTTCGATATAGCGCTCGATATTTTCATTAAACAGCCAGGTTGCGTTGCTCTCGTGTTCGGCCGTGTCACCGCATTGACATCCCATTCTCTCTTACAGTTTTAGAGGTTTGTATTGTCGGATCCGTGCCATGAAGAATTAAAGCAGTTCTGAACTAGCAACGGCTTCCTAATGAAGTGGCCGGACACCAAAACGCCATTTCAAACAGCGTGTAACATTGACACTGTATTTTTACAGTAAGCTTTTGACAGCTACCAGCTTTTTACTGTAAAATTAACAGAAAAGTGCAGCGTACAGTCAATAAATACTGTACAGTAAATCTGTAAATATAAATAAATCTGTAATCCTTTTAATTAATAATACAAATACCAAATAATGTTTTTGTTTATTAAAACAGTATCAAGTAAATCATAAGAGAGGCAAATCAAAAATAGCATATTATTAAAATAAATATGAGGTAACATTATTTTAGGGTGAAATAGTTACACGTTACGGCATAATAACACTAAATGATGCATAATTACAAGTAACTAACCCTCAACAAAACCCCAATCGTAACTCTAAGTACATGTAGTAAATTAATATCACTCAGTACTTATTTGAGTACTACGTCATCTTAGAGTAAAGTGTAACCAATTATAATAAAAGAAATACGCACTATTTAAACAACTACGCAAAATTTCTAATCCTAAAGTAACATAGTTACACGTTACTAAAAGTACTAACTATAGTAACAGTAAATGATGCATAATTACAAGTAACTTTTCCCTAAACCAAACCCTAACCGTAACTTTATAGTACATGTAGTTAATTAATATCACTATTTGAGTACTACGTCACCTTAAAATAAAGTGAAACCAATTATAATAATAGAAATACGCACTATTCAAAGAACTACACAAAATATTCCTAATCTGTATTTGACTGAATGATAAAGTGCACAGAAACAGGTCAGTGTGTCCAGAAGAGGGGCAAATAAAAAATAGCCTATTATAAAAAATATATATATACAATAATTGTATTTTAAGATAATGTAATACTCAGATAAGTACTAATATTAATAAACTACATGTGCTTACTATAGAGTTAGGGTTAAGGTTTGATTTAGGGTTAGTTACTTGTAATTATGCATAATTTATTGTTATTATGTGGTAACCTTAAAATAAAGTGTTACCTAGTAACCAATTATAATAAAGAAATACACACTATTCCAACTTAATTAATTAATTACAAGTAACTAAGCCTAAACCAATCCCTAACCCAACTAAGCACATGCAGTTAATTAATATTACTACTTATTTGAGTACCACGTCACCTTAAAATGAAGTGTGACCAATTATAATAAAAGAAATACACTCAAACAACAACATTTCTATTCCTGTATTTGACTGAATATTAAAGTGATAACCACTTAACGCCAAAAACACAGATCACCTGCCAATACTTCATTATAATATACGAAACGAGAGTTTCTGGAAGGATAGATTAAGTCAGAAACAGAAATGTTAAAAAGCAACCAGACTAAACAAGGTTTGAGAACACGTAAAACACGTAGTTAATTAATATCACTATTATACGTCACCTTATAATGAAGTGTAACCAATTATAATAAAATAAATTTGCACTATTCAAAGAACTACACAAAATGTATATTCCTAATCTGTATTTGACTGAATGATAAAGTGCACAGAAACAGGTCAGTCAGTAACTGAAAACCAGTCAACACCAAAAACACAGATCATCACCTGCCAATCATACTTCATCATCACAATATTCCAAACGAGAATGTTTATGGATAGAATGGATGATGGATCGAACAAGTCAGAAACAGAAATGTTAGACCTGTCGCGCGCTTGAAAAACACGTAAATGTTTGATGGGAAGAAAAGAAAAAGAAAAGCCATACCGACCATTTTTGGATTTTTGGATGCATAGAATAAGGAATAGAATAAGCCATAAACAGGAATGTTAAAAAGCAACCAGACTCATCCTGTCGGTAAAAACAGGTTTGCGCGCTTGAAAACACGTAAATGTTTGATGCGAAAAGCCACCCAAAAACACAGATCACCTGCCAATACCTCATCATCACAACATACGAAACGAGATTAATATCAGGGGATCGTGGGAAGAAAGTCCTTACCGACCAGGTCGACGTTCTGCTCGCAGGAGAACCAGATTCCCGTGTGGAACTTCCTCAGAACAAACTTGTCCTCTCCGGTCTCCCAGATGTACTGGACCCTCCGGCTGTCGGTGAGGTTCGAGCTGTTGTATCGGATGCAGTGTGTGTGTTTGCCGGTCACCGGTCCGGTACAGAAGGGCTTGACAACTTTCCGGGTTCCCTCGCACCAGTAGCTGGTGGTGAGCGCGCATATCGCGAGCATCAGCGCGAGGAAGTTCAGGGTGAGCGCGAGCGAGCCTCTCCTCCGCCGGTCCATGGCCATGATGAGAACACTGACTGAACACTGATCCAGAATCAGCTGAGGCTGAGAGAGAGTGAGTGCGAGCCTTGAACCTGGATCGTCATGTAGAGTCAGTCCTTCAGTGCTGCGTGCTCGCGCGCGCGCGCTCCCCAAGCAGTTCTGCACACTGCGCTCGTGCGCTGCTGTCGCGCGCTTCACTTCTCATGTGATGTCAGTCAGAATCAATGAACGCAGCGAGTCAATCCTTAAAGGGTTAGTTCATCCAAAATGAAAAATTATCCCATAATTTACTCACCTTCAAGCCATCCTAGCCTAGGTGTGTATGACTTTCTTCTTGCAGCCGAACACAATCAGAGCTATATTAAAAATTGTCCTGGCTCTTCCAAGGTTCATATAATGCCAGTGAATATACCTGAGATTTTGAAGCCCAAAAAAGCATATCTCGGGGAGTAACTTCCGTTACTTATTATTATGTTTTAATTATTAAAAAGTAATCATGCGTCACGCGCACCTGCTCATAACAGGTGAATAGTGAGAAGCGTCAGGATGAATCTATAGGCTATATGAATTATTGAGTTATGCACGGAGGACAAGGAGTAAAAATGTCATAATTTCAAGAAGATTGCAATGAAATCATGCATTTTTGTTAGGAACATTCTAGCTGATTCATTTCAAAGTGCAAATGTTGCGGTTTTCCAAACTCATGAGGTTGTGGCAGAGTGTTTTATCACGTGTTACAGGAAGGCCGCTGTGGAAAACAAACTGCTTCATTTTCGACCTAATTTATTTGTGTGTTGGATATGAGGCCAGCGGATCAATATCAGTGACAGAGCACTAACCGGCAGCTCTGGAGGATGAAGTCCTCGCCTGGACACTGACACCCAAGGCCAGGACACCACAGCGTGAGAGATGCATCAGCGGCGATCAGCGCTGAAGGCTTGCGATGAACGCCAGCAGTTCCTTCCTGAATCGACTGTATTTTTGAGTACAGGTTTGAGTAAAGCCATGGCTTGTGTTTTGTGAATGTTTAACCTGGTGTGGAATTGCTCGCCATACAGAACAGCTGTTACTGGAGACAGAACTGAGCTTTAGAATTGCCATCCAGGGTTATCATTGTCAACTAAAACTATAGAACATGAACACCACAAGGGCTGGGTAAATATAGGTCAGAACACATGTTGGGTTCATTTTATCCAGCAAATTGGGTTGTTTATTTAACCCAGCACAATGGGTTGTTTAATTTTTTATATAGTACTAGCTTCTCTTTTTTTTAACTACATGAATTAATGTTTACGGATTACCTTAAATCCTTAAAACTTTAAAAAAAATATTCCACACGACCACTGGTTTGCATAATTCCTTTATTTTCTGTCATATTTTACAGTATAGCATATTTTATATAGTTTTGAATACATATTGCCAACATTTAAGCTCATTTAACAAATGTAAGAAGTAAAAATGAAACGTTTAGAAGTAACTCGAGTGTAATCGACCAGTCTCTGCTGTCCCGTTTTCACCGTAACGGCGCTGGATCGTGTGCCGGAGCTTGGAGAGGTGACTCACATCGCACCCCTGTATGTTGCTTTGCATAAAATTAAACGATATTCAGCACAAAAATAAATTTATAGATAAAATAAAATGTACACAATCCTATATTTTACCGAAGATATGCAAAAATTTGACGGAGCTACCGTCACAAAAACTAACCACACATTGGGTTGTTACATCTGACCCAGGATCTGGGTTACACAAAAACTACTCACACATTGGGTTGTACCGTCTGACCCAGGATCTGGGTTACACAAAAACTACCCAAACATTGGGTTGTTACGTCTGACCCAAAGTCTGGGTTACACAAAAACTGGGTTGTTACGTCTGGCCCAGGAGCCGGGTTACACAAAAACTACCTAAACATTGGGATGTTACGTCTGACCCAGGATCTCGGTTACACAAAAACTACCCAACCATTGGGTTGTTACGTCTGACCTAAGATCTGGGTTACACAAAAACTGGGTTGTTACGTCTGGCCCAGGAGCTGGGTTACACAAAAACTACCTAAATATTGGGATGTTACGTCTGACCCAGGAGCTGGGTTACACAAAAACAACCCACACATTGGGTTGTTACGTCTGACCCAGGATCTGGATTACACAAAAACTACCCACACATTGGGTCATTACGTCTGACCCAGGAGCTGGGTTACACAAAAACTACCCACACACTGGGTTGTTATGTCTGACCCAGGATTTGGGTTACACAAAAACTACCCAAACATTGGGTTGTTACGTCTGACCCAAGATCTGGGTTACACAAAAACTGGGTTGTTATGTCTGACCCATGAGCTGGATTACACAAAAGTTACCCAAACACTGAAAAAATAACCCCAAAAAATTATCCAAGAGGCGCAACCCAGGATTTGGGAAGAAAAAAATAACCCAAGACTTTTTAGAGTGTGAAAGCATTATTCAAGACATTTCTCCTTAGAATCTTTTTGGCATGAAAGGATTCTTGAGTTTTAAGGAACCAATGTTCTATATAGAAACCCATTGAACCTTTTATTCTGAGAGTATAGTATCTGAATGATGGTGAAATAACTCTGTTGTTCATCATTCGGTTGATGTATCTGTGGCCTAGAGAGCAAAAGGCCAGGAAAGAGCGTCCAGAACGGCACAAACTCTATCAGCGAGAAGAATGTCCCAGTTAGATCACGCTTTACCTGACCCTCGGGAAATCACACACACACATCACGAGGAGACATGGCTTTGAAGTGTTACACACATACAGATATGTACACTCTAAAAAAATGCAGGGTTGTTTTAACCCAAATTTGAGTCAAATATTGACAAACCCAACCATTGGGTTAAAAATGTCATTTAGAAATGTAACCCAAATGCTGGGGTTGTCCCTATTGGACCCAAATTTGGGTTGAAACAACCCAGCATGTTTTTTTGTGAAAAGCAATTGTTTTTGAAGAAAACAGACCTCTGACAGTGATAAAACAAAACTGAACATTTATGAATGGTAAACCTTGAATATTTTAAGATCTTTGGGACAGTCAATTGGTTAATTAGGTGCAGCTTAGCATTCTATTCTTCTATATGTGTGTGTAGTATAGCGTGGGTACTTAGTCTTAGTATCACCCATAGGTACTTAGGCTTATGAAGAGATACGATTGCTTTATGAACAGACTTAATTTAGACAGAATGATGACAGAATTTTCATTTTTGGGTGAACAATTCCTTTACTAAGTAAAGCTGAATTAGGTATGCATGCAATTCTTCACATTTTTATACTAATAATTATTGCATTAGATCCAGTTCTCATATTAGGCTAAAAGTCCCAAGGGTATTGTCAGATTTTGGTAAATGTGCTTTTTCTTTTTATGCTCCTTGGGCTTGGAATGAATTGCAAAATGTAAATAATCTATGAGCATTTTTACATGCATTTTGGACAAAGATTTAAAGGACACTTTAAGGGAGCACAATGTTTTCTTGATTTTATTTATTAATTTTGAATGAGTAATTTGTGGCATTGTCATTTCGTGTCTCTCTCTGTGTGGAACTCTATGACCAGGTCTCTCTGGAAGAAGAGATAATAATATCTCAATGGGATTTCCTGGCTAAATAAAGGATAAATAAATTTAGTTTTCCCGTGTTTGTTTCCACCGTCTCCACCGGGTTTGTTTGCTGTATTTGTGTTTTCACAGCAAGTATACATCTCTGAGGAATGAAAAAGCTGCATGACAGAATTCTGTGAAATAACAGAACCTACTTTTCCATAAATCTTCACAAAAAAGATCATCTTTGAGGCCTTTGTGTGTGCTTGAATCCAGACGGAGCACAACAGCATTTGCAGAAACTTTACTGCATGCTTTAACTGTCGGCCATTACAGTGGTACAAAACAGAAATTAGTACTTCAATAGGTCGATAAATTAACATCATATCAGATAATGAAAAAGTTTATTTACTGTAAATTTAAGTTAAGTCTGTAAACTACCGTAAATTAATTGTTACCGTAAATTCTGGCAACCAGAGCTGCCGTTTTTTTACCGCAAATTTTTACAGTGTACAGAAGCTTCACAGTGTGTTTCACACAAACACCATCATTGTAACACATATGAAATTTTAAAAATCCTATAAACATTCATTTAACAACATTAAATGTAACATAAAACCCCAATGTACATAACTGATTTAAAAAAACGATGAAGAAACAGTTATTTCAACAAAAATACATCAAATATGAAGTGTCACGCAGGGAATTGGGGGAATGTCAATGTATGTTTTTTCACTGTAAATTATACAATGATTTCTTTTTCACTTCCAAAAACTGTCAAATTTAACAGTATTTTACTGTAAAATGACATGATCTATCTGTGATCTATCACAGTTATTCACCGTAGTACGTTAACTTTCTGTTAACCAATTAACAGTTTTTCACCGTGGTGATTTCTTTTACCGTTAAAATCACGATAATGTTTTACAGTGTAGTTTGTTTTCTCACTGGTTGTGAGCGTTTGCTGTGTCACACACACGTTCTTCCGTGCAGAGAGACGAGTTGGAGGTCAGAAAGCCCACAGTGTCCTTCATGCTCACGTCCAGATAATGAGATGATGCTGTCGCTTCATAATGCGCTCAGACGTCCTTCCAAGGTCACAACCAGAGCGGAGAGAAGACATCATGACAGAATAATACAGATTCTCTCATCACTGTCGGGAAGTGAGTTTCCATCAGAAAATCTGTATTGTGTAATTGCATATCTGAGCTGAAGCTCTGATTAACTGAGTCCCCTAAAGGCACAAGTGCATTATTTACTCGTTAACTTTGACATTTGCAGCTCATAGTTGTGTCTCCTTCACAGCAAGCTCATTATTACGTCCCGCTATCATAGAAGCTCATTACAATAAGTATGTGATTTATCAATCTTAGGAATGGCGAGTTACAATTACAAGATGGCCTCGGAGAATGCGGAGAAACTGAATTTAAGCTTGGATTTTATTCCTAATGGCTTAAGGTTACTAATCTGAATATGATTTATGAGTCACAGAGAAACCGTGAGGACGTGTTTCTGTTTTTAAAGCAAAGTTTGAATGTGTGAAGCTCAGCTCAAAGCTTCCAGTGGGCCTCAGGTGG